GCTGCTGGGCTGATAAATCATCAGGAGCTTAGGCTCTAACTTTCTCTCTTCTGTGTTGTTTCCATGACTACAAAACTCTCCACTAATGAATTATTAGCTTGCATTAGGTTATGGTATTAAGCTTAAAAGTCAGTCTGATGAAGTATTAGGCCTTGCTGGGGCTTAAAAATGGACTCTTCTCGTTTCAAATTCTAAGCATCCTGATAATTAAGTTGTGTAAACTAGGAAATTGATAGTCCTTCATAGCATCTACAATTAAATGGAATTGGAAATGCAATAATGTAAGAAACAAGCTGTCACAATGATGGAGAACTTGTCAGTGAATGGGAGGTTTTTACCTCCAGATCTTGACTTGAAATTTATTTGATTTATTTACTTTATTAAATGCTTGCTAATGGCTCAACCTGTTGATCAAAATCTCCATGGAGCTTTCATGACTGCAAACCTGAATAGGGCTTTTTCTTCTTCCTTGGAGACTTGGATAAATTATTTCAGCTTCTGCTTTTTATATCTTTAACATGAGTTTTGTCACTTCTGTCAGTGACATGTTCTACAGTTTGTCCAAGATCCGAGCTGCTCTGATGCTTCTTTTGTAGAGCTGAGGTAGTGACAGACATAACTGAGCATTAGTTTCACATTTGCACCCAAAGCTTCCTGGGCTGTAACACTGAAACTGGGACATTACTATGCAGGCTGTTCCTTTCCTTGCTTCTCACCACCCATTTTGCCATTCCTTTAAGTGATATGCAGAGTCACCTGCAGCCCTCCTGTGGCTTTGGGTTAATTGTGGAATTAGGAACTGAAACACTGAGAAGAGAGAGGGCTGGTGTGAGATGACTTGTTCCATCACTCGGTGTCATCTGAAGAGCATGGTGATGTCTAGCACAGAGCTGGTGAGAACTTGTTGCAGTCTGAAACGTGTCCCTACCTCCACACGTGTGATGGGAGCTCAGCACTGCTCCTAAATAGTTTTTCATTTATCACTTTTGCCTTTGGGAAATTTGTTACCAATAAATCTCCCCACTTGGGCATCTGTGAACTTGCTGGGAGCGAGTTGCCGTGACAACGGAGAAACTGCACATCACAAGGCCTTTTGTGGGCCTGAAGATTTGTTTCGTGGGAACTGATGTGGGTTTCCCCCTCCCCAAGCTGTGCTGGAGGGTGGTGGGGTATGGACGCAGGTTTGGAACCCAGTCTCACTGAGCTGAATGCTGCAAACAGCTAGAGGGGAGGGTTAGTGAAGGTGAGCAATACAAGGTGTTAAAGCACTAGCATCAGGATGTGTAGATCACTGCCCAAGGAGATGGAGGGTAGGAATGTGAATGGTGTACATTTATCTTTTAAAGAAATTCTTCGCAAGTTTCATTTATTTATTGGCTAATGGGAAAAAATGAACAATTCAATCTTTTTATTAGGTAAATCTTCATTTTCTGAACTATAGGTAATAACTGGAGGGTTAAACAGCCAATGCTGACGTTTATTGTTTCTTCTTATCAGATTGTCTTCACAGTAAAAAACCAGGAAGTTTTGAAAAGACTCAGCAAGAACATTTGCTGCGATTGAAAATTTAGTGGATTACTATTCCTTAAATTACTTGTTTTTCCTCTTCACACTTCTCATTAGGGTTTGGAGGAGACTTTTTTTCATACCTAATTAAAAGACCAACGCTTACACTTAGATGAAAAATAAATTGAGTACATTTTTACTGCAAAACCTGAGGTATCATTTCCAAACAGCATGTTCTACCAAATTCTAAGAGATGTCCAGTGTAACACGCTGTAACTTCTGTAACACTCCGTGAAGAAGTGGATTTGGGCTGAATATATAAAGTATGTCTCACCTGTGGTTTCAGGGTAAAAGAACTGGTCGAGATAAGGTGCGTCCAAACCAGAGGAAGTAAGATGATGTGCATGTCTTGTTTTCTTTTAAGCTTAACTCTTCTGCTACCAGTGCAGACTAATTTATATTTAACATACTGTTTTCCTGGTTTGTTTGCTGCAAGCTGGCTTCTTTTTTTCTCAAAGATATTAAGCCATGCATACTGAATGTAAATGGAAAGTTAATCCAGGGCTTGGGATGCCATCTTCAACCTCAGCAAGGTTTAGTATCCAGAAAAAATAAAGGTGGATTCAGGCAGGATTATATTTTCAAATTCAGTCATAGTAGGAAGGGACAAAGAGCAAATATCATTGCTCTTTTCCAATAAACTGTTATGAACCATCTGATTTTATATTCCTCCTGTAGTTGCACAACTGTTTTTGTTCTGGGAATGGGGAAGAGTGTGTTGGTCGCATGGCATTTTTGCTCTGCAGTTTTCAAAGAGGATCAGGTCTAAGATTTGTGGTAGAGCTTGGTGAGAGCACGTTAAAACATTTCCTGTTCTTGACCTTTTGAGGAGACACTAACATATGCTGTGGCTGGCTGTGGATACACAGAAATTAGAATACCTGTTTTTGTGCTCTGCTTCTATAGCTGCTAAAGGAAGATTTAGAAGTATTACCAGTCACTCGACCTTACACTAGACTGAATATAAGTAGCTCTCACTGTAAAGGAGTTTGTGGGCAGTTTTGATCAAACTCAGGCATTTCTGTTGTTGTTAAAGAAAGGAAAAAAAAAAAAACAACCAAACCACTCTGAGATAGCTCAGAACTGGGATGTGGTAACCAGGAGTGGCTGCTTTCCATCAGTGTGGATCACTCAGAGCTAAGTACAGCTCAATAAGCCAACATCTAATTTAAAAAAAAAAGATAAAAAATGGAAGCAGAGAGGCACATCCCTAGCGCGTTGAATCTGAGCGTTTTCTTGCAAAGATGCTGAGAGGCCTTGGCTTGATTCTCTAATATTATTTTAAGATGCCACCTTCAGATCCTGGCAGTTCCATCTCTTCAGCCCGGGTCTGAGCGTGGTGCTGGCAGCTGCAGGAGCCGGCAGAGGGCACAGGAGCCTGTGACAAACCTGCTGCTCTGCTGGAGCGCCCCGGCCTGGGCTAGCAGGGCTGCAGGAACACCCCCTGCCCGAGCCACACCTTTGTACCCAAAGGAACGAGCTGCCTTGGAACAGCACAACACCTCAGTTGTTGTTTCGGATGATAAATTTCTCAAACAGGCTGCCCACAGCCTCCCTGGAGGGTTTAAAATGTAAGAAATAAAACAAGTGTTTCCCATTGATTTATATCTCCCTCACTCGATGAAAAGGCAGCTATTGAAAGTGCTTCTTGTCTCAAAAGAGCAGGAGCTTTTATCTGAGACCCCAGATGCACGAGCGTCACAAAGTCAAGGCCAGCAAAGCTGCTCCTTTAAACTGGGTCTTCATCTTGTGCTAAGAAAGGACAGTAGGAATTTTTTTCTTTATTTGTTTTGCTTATGGCTCAGTATTGTCTGGTGGCCTTGAAAGGATCTTTGTCCCAGCAAAGGGCTCCGTGATGACACTGGCTTTATCCTGGCAGCCAGATCTGCTGAGGAGCCATCCCTTGCAGAGTCAAGGGCTTAGGCTAACCCCCAGGCCTGGCTTTTCCTAAATATTGCACAGTACATCATCCTGAGTAGCCTCTTGGAGTGCTGCTTTCCATCAGCACTCAGCAAGTAATCATAGTGGTGAAAGAAATTCCACATTTTAAGCTCTATTAATTTTTTTTAATGATCAAAACTGCTAAAATTCCTATTCTTGTGCCAGGGCATGAGACTTTCTGCACTGATAAAGTTGCAGGGAGAGTCATCCAATCTGAACATGCTTTTCATGTGGCCTGTGGTTATTTTATCAGAGGATTATTTGACATTACAGCCTTTCAATCTTACAGTTTTAAACTTGTCTGGGGAGGGGAAGATTTCTAACTTCCATTTGCCAATGAGGCTACCAAAGGTATATGCTAGGCCAGGCTTTTAAGGTCATTTATTGTGCAATTTTGAATAAACTTGAATTTCTGTCGTTTCCTTTGTCTGTAAAATGGTGATAATACGCAAATACTGTTCTCCTGCAGTGCACTGGGAGAAGTACTTATCCTTAAATGTCAAGCATATATCAATGGCACAAAGTACCTTAACCAGATTAGAGGTTATTCACCAGACCGACGCACTAAATAGATGGGGCAAAAGTACTTCTATCCAAAAGTATTATTAAACCTTCTTGGCTTTGCTTCTGCTGATAAATGAGTTTATTTTAAGAAGGATATTATGTTGTAGCCTGCATTATCTTTTGGTGAGTCTTAACTTTTTTTCTCTTCTATTAACTTTGAGATTTGAAATGCAACTTACTTGAGCAATTACATGGTGTCTCATGTGAAATACTGAGACTGTTGCAACCTTCTGCAACCCAGAGTGTCTTGCCAAGGCAGAGCCTTTGTATGTAACATTTCCCTTCCTCCCTTTTCCAGATCAACACTTGATTGAAAATCAAAGTTGATTGTGTTGCTAGTTTGAAAGTGTTCATCTGCATTAATTCTCATGTGTTGTGTTTTGGGTTTTTGAAGTAGGTTCTTTTTTGTAATGCATGTGAAAGATTTCCTGACTCTTGCTATGCAGTGACTTTAAGAATTACATTTTAAAAGAGAATGAATGTCTTGAAAAGACTGTTTATGTCCTAAAATACCCTATGTGGATTATAGCATGATATTTTTGAAAAGCATTTTTTTTGTATTTCAAAACAAGCAAACCAGATAAGCCTGCTTTTGGCATGAAAAGAAGTGATTTATTTTTTTCTTTTGGCTTTGTTTTTTGCTTTGGTTTTGCTCTTCTAACCAGATAAGTATATCTGCTTTTATCTGGTTATACATGAACACAGCTTTCCACTTTAAGTCACTCAGTAATGTCAAAGGTATTGTTGGAATGAGTCTTCAGAGTTGTGTCTGTGCGAATTTTGTTATGCAGCCTTTCTCCTGGGAATGTCACCTCAGATACGGTCATCTCCAATTCTAACCTTCGCCCAGTGATCCATTCTGCCAAGAAAACAGGCTGCTCTTCTTACTTTCCTATTTTTGTGTCTGTATGTGTGTGTATTTTCTTCAGAAAGCCAAACTTGGGCCAGCTGGTAACAAAGTGATAACTCCAACAGAAGACAAGAACTCAAATGTGCCATCCAACAATCTGGACAGGGTGAAGCTGACAGATTTCAACTTTCTCATGGTTCTTGGGAAGGGCAGCTTTGGGAAGGTAGGAATGCTTGATAACTATTCTACTTGCACTCCTTTTTCTTTTTTTTTTCTTTTTTTTTTTCCCCTTGAAGGTGAATGAATGAGTAATTCTCTAAGAAACAAAATCCAGAGTCAGAAGGATGTGCATTTTTAAGGGAAGATTTCCTTTTCCTTTTAAGGAAGTCTCCTTTTCTGGCTTTACTACCTAGGTCACTCTGACAGTGCTGAAAGTCACCAACATTAGTAAGGCTGAATATTGGGGAAAAAAACAGGAATAGTGTGTGTGTGTGTGTATATATTTGAAATCTGTTAGTCAAAAGAAAGGACTGTTATTTTTCTGTCTGCTTGAACAACCACACCTATGATCAAGTGCCCTTTACTGAAGAAGTCACCTGGGACTTAACATTTTATCAGCCCTTTGGCGATGTGCCTGAGATTAACCAGAGGGTTTTGGCACAGGCTTTGTCTGAAATGACTGGTACAGCTCATTGCAGTAGGTGAGTAATGATGGTATTTTAGGAGTTTTGATCAACTTAATCTCTACCAATAAAGGGAAGAGCTGGATTGCCATCTATACAAATCTTTGGGCATATGAGTCACCTTCCCTCCTTGGTGGTAGGAAGATTTTCACCCTGTTGTTTCTCTGTGTGCAGGTGATGCTGGCAGACAGGAAGGAGACAGAGGAGCTCTATGCAATCAAAATACTTAAAAAAGATGTGGTGATTCAGGATGATGATGTGGAATGTACAATGGTTGAAAAACGAGTCCTGGCGTTGCAAGACAAACCACCCTTCCTGACACAGCTTCACTCCTGTTTCCAAACAGTTGTACGTGAGCTCTGTCTTTCTTGCCACCCTGATATTTTCCATACCATATGATCATGGATTTTTTCAGCTCAATAACATTTACTGTCATCCATATATATCATAGCTTCTGTGCATAGAAGGTGGTGAAGAAAGAGATACTGCATGTAATTACCCCTTGTATATAAAATACAAAACTTAGGTTTAAAGATTTTTCTTCACAGTAAATTGAAGTAATTCAAGCAGACCAGTGTGACAATTCATAAATTTAATAACATATGCTTTGCTAAATATTAGAGCCTTAAGCTCAGATTCCCAAAGGTTCCTAAATACTTTTAAGGCTCTGAGGACAGTACTTGAAAAGTCTTAATGGCTATTACTGTATCGTGAGGTGATTAGTCGTGTAGTCTGGGAAAAAAAGAGGCTCAGGGGAGACCTCACTTTCTACAACTAGCTGGAAGGAGATTGTAGCAAGGTGGGAGACAGTCTTCTTTCCCATGTAACAAGCAATAAGACAAGAGGAAAATGCCTCAAGTTGCCCCAGGGGAGGTTTAGTTTGGAGCTGAGGAACAATTTCTTCCCCACCAGGTTTGTCCCTACCCCTGGAGGGGCTTCAAAGTCATGTATGTGTGGTGCTGAGGGACATGGTGTAGCGGTGACCTGGCAGTGCTGGGGGAAAGGCTGGACTTGATGATCTTAAATTGTTCCAACCAGAACAACTCTATGATTCTACATTAGTGACTTTTTTTTTTTCCATAATCAATGCATATCTAATATTTTCTATCATGTATTTACATGTGTCTTTAATACTTTCTTCTAGGACCGTCTGTATTTTGTGATGGAGTATGTGAATGGTGGTGATCTCATGTATCACATTCAGCAAGTAGGAAAATTCAAGGAGCCACAAGCAGTGTGAGTGTTCACGTTTGTATATCTAAATCATGTCATCATCTTAATTTTACAGCATAAGAGGATTAGGTTTCTTCTCCTTCCCAGGTTCAGTATGAAGTCTAGGCTGGCCTTTTTTTGTTGTATTTCTTAAGGCCTAAAAGCTGAAGTTTATGTAAAAAGTGTTGTTTGTGCACATAGACCAAAGGGAACTGTGCCTTTTTATTTAAAAATACAGCACGAACAAAGGCATGCAATGCCTGCTTTCAAAGTGACAAGAATTTAAACAAGGCAACAGGAAATTAAAGATGTTACTTGGTATTCTGGTGTTGTTTTTAAAAGCGAATATAAAAAAAAAAGTGTGAGTAGAACATTTCAGTCTGAATTAATGTTACAGGGAATGGCAATGCAAATAGACTCAGGATTGCAATGTAAATTGTAGTTTATACAGGATACATCCACAGTAGAGCTTATAAGAATTTCTGTGATCCTATTTTTTTTATAGAAGTTTTATTTTTGAGGATTTAAATGCTTAGAAATTTTTTATATACGTGATCTTTTCTAAGTTGTGTGTTTGAAGTGTCAGTGAGCAACTGATAATGATTTGTAGTGTGTTCAAATGTGAACAGATCCATCAGTCCCGTTTTAGTTACGCTTCCAACAGCTCATCATCATTTATTAGTGTTTCATAAATCATTTACCAATGAAACTTTAAAATCGAGCGTGACCAACTGTTTTAAGAATTCAGCTAACATAATTTCTCCTTCCAATTTAAATAACCAGGGTTTGTTTAAAAGAGAGGCTTCTAAATATAAGTATTTGGGATATGGAACAAAAATTTCAACAACTTGCTGAATAAAAACTAGATGGTGTCAAATCATCCCTGACTCCCAGCTAATGTAACCTGCCAACACCCATTGAAAACCATGGTGCTTCATGACAGCTTATGCCTGTGGAGCATCTTCCAGCACACATGTTCCCAAACACCTCTGATCAAGGGTTTCAGAGCTGAGTTTTGAGCTTTCCTTTCCCTTATGCCAGCCTACAAATTAATCTCATCTTTAAATAATCCTCCTGCATATAATCTGCACAGTACCATGGCAACTGGCTTCAAACATCCATCGATCTTATATATCTTTTAAATGCATTCAGCAGTTATAGTTTATGTGGTAATCATTTCAATTAGCTTATGTAATTAGTCTATTAACAGCCTGTATAGAGGAATACTATTTCTGCAAATTATTTCATTCCATATGAATTGCAGTGTAAATTGGGCCACATTCTGAATTCAGCATTGATGTGTGATTAGAGATAATGACCTTTGCAGGCAGAGTTAGATCAGTGCAGTAAAATATTGTGCTCCACTGCACCAGTTTTGGGGGATTTTGGGAGACATTTTAATTATTTTTTTTTTTAATCTGCATTATTTTATTGACAAATACTTGAAATGTGTCTGTTGAAGTCAAGTTGAAGTAAAGCATCTTTCATGTCATCTGCCTGTAATATGTTTTATATTTTAGTATCTAGATACACACTATATATCATACATTCTGTATGCTGTTTCACTATCATTCTTTATCATGATACATTTCCAAAATATTTTGACAAAAGGAAATCATGAGGCAGTAAGAAATCTGTTGGTTTTTTTCCATACAGGTTCTATGCAGCTGAGATCTCAGTTGGGTTATTCTTTCTCCATAACAGAGGGATCATTTATAGGTGAGTATAATCTGACATAAGTAATTTCTGAGCTATTTTCAAAACAAAGCATCAGTTTCTTTAAGATTTCAGTGTGTTTTTAAAACATTTTATAAAAGGCAACCACTGTCATGTTCATTTGTTTGTGTTGGTGCTGGTGCACAAGAAACCAAAGCCACTGCTTTGCCTGAACTTTTCTGATGTCCTTGCTCTGCCCAACTCAACTGACAACTCTTGAAAATGTAAAACATCATCTTGTGCATTCTTCTGTGATGTTTAATAGTTTTACACTTTTGGAAGTCTCAGTGTGAGTGTGCTCATGGTCATATACAGCTTTCTCTCATTAATTATCCAGTTTCAGGGTTTATGGGTGTTCTTACCTAGCTGCAGTGAGGTGCTCAGCTCTCCAGGCTGTTGACTGCCATGCATGTGCTCCCGTGTCCCCTCTGCCCCCAAAAGAACTACACATGTTCCTCACCTCAGAAGTAGATAAGTTGGCCCTAGTTGATCCTAAACATTAACATTAAATTACTGTGATTCTTCATAGAGATCTGAAATTAGATAATGTGATGTTGGATTCAGAAGGACACATTAAAATTGCTGATTTTGGAATGTGCAAAGAACATATGTTGGATGGAGTAACAACCAGGACCTTCTGTGGCACTCCAGACTACATTGCACCAGAGGTAAATATTTACCATTTCAAGAACCTTTTAGTCTCTGAAGTGAAAATTGTCACTACACAGGTCTCACACCACCAAGTTTTGATAGCTGGATACTCTGTGGATGGTACCATTCATATTCCTGCACATATCTTTAATAACTTTGTGTATTATTACAATATTATCAATAAGACTTCACAATTTTTAAATATATCTGATTGATTGAAAACCTAACTTTTAATGTGACACAGTGCTTCATATTTTCTTCTTACTAGCAGATGACTGAAAAAACTGGATCACCACCTTCTGCTTTCAAATCTGTAGCCTGGAACTGTTATCATACTAAACTTTGTGATTCAATTTGTGAAGTCATGGAGAGTTCATGGGCATTGTTGAGGTTGTTGACAAGGTCAGCAAACATTTTATGAGGAGCAAACATAGCTTCTTTAATGTATTTCCCTATAAGTTCACAGAGCTGACACAACCCATGTGTTTAAAGGATTGTTTGGCATTTTCAGGAAATGACAAAACACTCGTTGCTTTTTGGGAATTCATGAGGTCTTGAAGTTTTTCGTCCCTGCAAAACTACTTGAGTCTTTTCCAGGTCACATCTTGCAGATGTTTCAGAGGTGTCATGAGTGACTTCTCTTCACCTCAGGAAAGCTCCAGTCACTGAAAGCCTGAATGATGCTACAAGAGCAGGGCATGAATGGAGTTGACACAATAAAGTCTTGATTTGCCTTGAGTTTTCTGTGACTTGGCAATATCTGTGCTGCATTCAAGCCACTAAAAATCACATTCAAGCACAAACTTTAACTGCAGCAGGTCTAAAATGAAAATGTGATCATGAGGAACACAGTTCTACTTTAAGGCACTGTGATAAATAAGAGCTTAGAGTTCAGATTTTTTGTCTGGATATGATTTGTGTGTCAGCAGCTTAGGTATAAAACATTAAAAACAAGCACATGTGGTGATTTGGAAATGATTCAAATATATGAATCTCAAAATCTGGTATGTGTGCACACTGAGCTCTCAAGAGTCTCGAGTTGTTTGGCTGCAAATTGGATGCAAGAGGCTGTATCTGGATCCAAGCTCCTCAGTGTTTCACTGAGTGCTGGGCAGGAGGCAGCTCTGGCTGGAACATTTCTGGCTGTAATTAAATGTTTGTTGGAATATGAGAGATTTATACATGGGCAAGTAAATTAGTGTCGAAGGTGAATTTTGTCATCTCTGTGAAACTGGGATGAAAAGCAGTTTGTTTTTACCCGGTTGCTAATTCATGCTTTTCAGAGTGAAATATTGGATAGTATTAAAACTTTTTTTTTCTTTTACTCTCCAAAAATTGCTGTTACTTGCAGCAGGATATTGGAACAACCAGAGCAGTGTTTCATTTTCTCCTATCAAAACATAAATTAAGCTAATATTACAAATTAAAAAGTGTCCTTTCTGTGGCAATAGTCTTGTGCCAGTTAACACCAAGGAACACGTTGTCAGTGCCAAAATGCTCAGTATGGGTCAGTGTTGGAATGATTTCTTTTACTTTATTTGGAAATTTCATATAAAGAAATAAAGTTTTTACCAAAGTGTTCAGTAACTGGGAGGAAATGAATCTTTCTACTGTCTTACAGACAGATACTATTTTTTTTTTTTAGCTGGCTGATTTTCTTTCATTTCTGAAGACATTATTGTGACTGGCAGATTGCTAACTAGGTCTGTGGTAAACTTCAAAGTAAGGTTCATGTTTTTCTTGCAGGAGCATTTCAGCACGTTTCCATGGGCTAAAATTTGTCAATTTATAATAGATTATAATGAGGATACATTTGCACAGTGCCATCCCCTGCTGGGTGGAGATAAAGGAACTAAACCTGAGTAAACCATTGCAGGTATTGAGAGTAGAGTAATCCTGGGAGCATGTTGCACTCAGAGAATCAGCTCTTTTCATCAGTATTTGGGAAAGAATGTTGTACTTTGGTGTACTGTAGAATAATGCTTTCCTTTTTAAATGATTGGGGAAGTTAGCATTTGTTATTGCTTAGGTGTATGACACACTAGAATAAATATCCAGTTTGTTATGCTGTGCAGTTTGAGAAATGTGCAGAGGTTAAACGTGTAGGATCCCAGATTTGACCACATCTGCCAGGCAGAAAGTGGTTATCTAATAAAGACTATTTATTGATGCACTGAACTTAGATATTTATGGTCAGAGTGGTCAAATAGCTGTGAAATCAATTAATATTTTGTATTTCCTTGACCAGTCAAGAGAGACAGAAGGAAATGGATGTCAAGAGGATTAGTGGGAAGGAATTCTGCCAGCACAGCCTGCTGCTTGTGGTGCAGCACTGAACCCCATCAGCACCCCTGCAGCAGCCAGAGCACTGGTCTTGAATCCCAGAAGAATTTAAATTAGAAATTCCATTTCCCTTCTCCTCTATTTAATAGCCTCAAAGCTTTAAGTTCTAACCTTGCATTTGCTGGGATTGTGAGAGGCCAATAGGTATTACAGAGGTTTGGAAAGTATACATTTGACTGTTTCTTGCACTAGTGATATTTATTTCTTTTAATAACTGGATTTTAACTTTTCCAGTAGACATAAGATACATTCACAAAAGAGTTTCTGTCTTGCCTCCGGGATAAAATCTTTTCCTCCCAACTGACTACCAGCTGCAAACTGCAGTGATCTAAAGATTCCTACAAATTGCTGGTATTAATCTCTGTGCCTTCCTTGGAGGCAAAATGGGGCAAAAAAAGGAAAAAAAAGCAATCAACATTCCTCTGCCAGTTCGGCTTGATGAGAGAAATTCCTCCTGAGCTCTCAAATCTACGGAACCTGAAAAGGCAGAGCTCTTAACACATGGTAGTAGATAGGTAAAAGGGGATTTTTGGGATGCAAAAGGAGACGAGAAAGAGAATCATCTCAATTAATGATGGAGAAGGAGAGGTTCCTATCAATTTTCCACTCCTCCCTGTCTACTGGGCCAGAGCAGAGGATCCCAGCTGGAGGACCAAGCAGAGTTCCTGCCTGGGGGTGGGTACAGTTCTGGGCACACGAGCTCCCTCACTGCTCTGTGGGTCTGCTCTGCACACTGCAGTGAGACTGGAGATCATGTCAATATACCCCTCTCTGTCCCAAAAGACACCAAAATCAGTGCATGCAGATAAGATTATTTTGGCAGCTGCTGCCAGGCAGCCAGTGATGGCTTCGAGTGAAGCCAGTGGGTAATAAATGATGATTTCTGGATGAGGAGGAGGGAACTACTGAAAATACATTTAGAACTTGCTGACTTTGTACCAATGCATGTTTGACTGTACACTGAAGACTCATCTGCTTCCTCCCACGTGTCATTCCTTCCTTGAAGTGAGTGTTCTTTCCTCTCGTTTACATTTCTCAATTAATGCCTTGAATAGCTGCCAATATTATGAGTGTAACTGCCAGGTTCCATGCATGACACCCAGGTTGGTGTATGAACGTGGCAGGGTGATTGCTTTTCTGGGTTTCACTTGCATTGCATCCTTACCAGGATTAAGCTGGTGATGCAGATTTGGTGTATTTAATTCGGATTAAAGGAAAAAAGCCTCCACTGTACAGCAGCAGATGCTGACAGTAACACCTTTCCCTACGTTGCAATAGGTTCAGTAAAAAAAGTGGATTTATTTCATTTACAGTGAGACCTTTCCAGTCTTGATGTCCACCTTTATTTCTCCAGTCCCAGTCCTTCCTTGTTGACTGGTTCAGACAAGTGAGGTGGGTACCAGCTCAGAGGGGGCCCTGGTCTGTTTGTCAGGTGTTGCTGCTGCTGCTGGCACGTGGCATCAAATAGGACAAAAATTTTAGTGACTGACCATATGTTAGGGTAAATGAAACAGCTTTTTCATGTTAATTCTGTCTCTCTTGATGATTGCATCTCTCACAAAGGCAGATATAATTGGGGCAGATTATACTGGCTGATGAGAATGCTGTTTAGTGGACAATCCAGTCTTGACTCACCTCTTGCTGGATGAACAAACAGCATCACTGAGTCTGTGCTTTGTTCCATCTTTCAGTTCATCACATTGTATTGCCATATTTAAAAGATTTCCTCTCCTCAGTAATCCCATCAAGCTCTTTCACAACAGGGAGAGGAGCAGTCTGTGGCCTGCTGGACAGACCTGACTGACAGGTTGAGAACCATGGTGGTGGAGCAGCATTTTCTTTCTCACTACTATAGATCCATCTTTTTCTCCTTTGCTAATTGAAATGAATTGTTCCTACCAAAACCACTTAGATGAAACACATTTGTTATACAAAATATTCTACTCTTATAAATTAATGACCTTCTGAAAAATACCCTTTTTCTTTTTGATAAAAAATAAATGTTTTCCATAAGGCAAGGAGAGGTTGTCAGAGAAGGGGTGAGGATGAAAAGTTTTCTCATTTTCTTTGTGTAAGGGCCAGTGTTCTTCTGAATGAACTTTTGAAAGTTTTTGGTATTTCAAGAAGCACCATTGATTCCAGCAGGCCTCTGGGAACTTCTGGTGGTAGAAATTAAAGAGAGGGTAATCAAGTGTGTCAACCACTATAATATGAAATAAATGTCCCAAATATATATTGTAAAGCCCATTGGACTGATAAAGGACAAGTAATGAAGAATTGCCTTTATATAGGACGTTCCAGCTGAGAATCTTGTTATTACCTCTCGTTGTGTAATATGGTTCAGAAGTGTGATTGATTTTGAAATCCTTTGCTTAGAAACATTACAGTAATTTTTAATTCATATGCTGCTGTTATTCCAGGCAAGAACTTATATATATATTTTAGGAAGCCCTGCTTTATTGAACTGGTGACTCACTATTTTCCTGAGAAGCTACAGAACTTGCCAGTTCAACTTTTCTTTCAGGAAACTAAAAAATCTGGGATATATGAAGTGTGCTTCTCCTAGCCATTTGTTCTGCAAAAAATAAAGACACGTGGAAGCAGGGAAATAAATGCAAGTCCATCTGCAGTAGTGAGTGCCTCAGTTCTCTGCTTGTCCTAGTGGAGGGGTGCCACTGGGGCTGGAGGCTCTGCTGCTGCCTCCCCTGGTGTGGGTGCACAGCTGCTGGGATGTCCTGCACCCCTTTGTCATTCACAGCATCTCTTCACAGTTATTGAGGAAGGGCTCTGAGAGAACATCTGCACCTCAGAACTCCTCTATAGCATGCCCAAATGCATCTCTTAAATTAATTAGCACTGATCTCTGAAGAGTCCTCAGCTAAAGAAAATGCACAAGGGCACCTGGGTGCTGCTGGCACTTGCAGCAGTTGTGTCAGAACTCAATTTTTGCTTCTGTTGTGAGGCAGGTGAACCTAGAAGATGCAAAATACTTGACATTTCCATTAGGCTGAACAGCAGAAAGCCCTTTCTTTTTGGGGTAGCTGGTATCTAGCTTTATACTAAGAGTATCTTAATCATGCACCTTGGGCACATGTAACTGAGTTTTGCAGGGTTTTGCTTTTTTCTTAAATTTTAATTCCTTTTACAGCAGAACAAAAATATAAATATTGTAAAGAAGGGCTTAATTATTGATAATCTGTAAGTTAAGCAAGTGTCATGATTTCAAGCTTTGACACAAACGGATGAATAACGTTCTTGCCTTGTCTCCTACACTGTGCTGCAGTACTTCCTCCTTTGCCTTCAAATGCACATCTCAGGGCCTCCTAAGAGCCACATTTCCCAAGATACTGGAGTACCAAAAAACGTGGGTGGGTTCAGACTAACATTTGCAAAACAATCCAGCTCCCACTGAAACCAGTGAGCAGCTAGAGTGAGGATTACAGGATTGGCTCTCTGGGCTTTTTCAAGGAAATATGTTGATCTCTGCATGTCACTATAATACGTCACAAGACTGGGTGTTAGTTAACATGGAGTTTTTTTCTTTGCTTTTTGTTTTCTTTGTGTGACTTTGCAGATTATTGCATACCAGCCCTATGGGAAGTCTGTGGATTGGTGGGCGTACGGCGTGCTGCTCTACGAGATGTTAGCTGGCCAGGTAAGAGTTACCCTCCCATGCTCACTGTGACCTCCTTCTGCCTCTCCAAAGCTCTGTTTCAAGGCTCCCTAAAGGGTTAGACCCTTAGAGGGCACAACTGTGGCCTTTCATGCTGACATTGTCTCCTTGCACTCTTGACTGACTCAACAGAGGGTGTATTTAGGCTTTAAGCTCTTTGTATTGCACCCACATAATCAAGCACTGCCTTGGAGTGTGGCTTCTTTGTACTGTAATAACGTGTAAGTAGCCATCTTCAAACCTGAATGGAACACTTGAGCAGGAAAATGCCTGTCAAATGGAAGAAATAGCATTTAGTAGTTTGAAACCACAGGGAAACACAATAAGAGCGTGTGTATGTTCTGCAGTCACAAGAATACAGGTTTTTTGGGTTGTATGTCCTGGGGGTAAAGTGTGGGTCTTGAAATACACTCAGTTACAGACCCCTCATTCTGCACAGCTAATGAGACCCTGCTCTCTGAGTCACTCAAGTAGAAAAGCAACATTGTGCTGCAATAAATGGCAGCTAACTACTGACTTTGAGGAATTCTGTTAGTCTTGAATTAGAAAAGATTTCTGCAGTTGGCTTTCAATGACTGTTAGCTGAAGGTATGCATTTCCTCAGCTTAAACCATGTATTTTTAACAAATGCCTTTGATAGCTTCTGTACAAAATTCCAGTCAACAGCTTAAAAGTTTCTGAAGCGTGGCAGCTGCAGTTGTTAACATTTACAGGCTGCATTGCAACTATTAGTCTTCTGAATGCTTTTAAGAACATGAGATTTACCATTAGGTGAGTCCTGCACAGTGCCTGTACCCTGGGGACGCACCCACAGGCACTTTCCTCATCATTTATATTACAAAATAAAATGCAGCCCTTTCTTGTAATAGTCTCCCCTCCACAGAAGCAGAGTCTCCAGTCATGCCTTATAAAACAAACTGGAGTTTAACTGGAATTAAGTGAGGAATGGATATACCTTAGCACAAGGTAATTGAAAGTGTCAGGCTCCAAATTTCAGCCTTTGAAGTGTTTTGGCTGTCTAGGGCACAGGAGCCTGAAAAACTGATTAAAGATGGCCAGGAAGATAATCTTGCACCCATTCTGTTAACGCGGCTGCCATGCTGGGGGCAGAAATGGGGGCTGGATGCACCTTTCCCCTGAGCCAGTGTGGCCATTGTCATGCCATTTCATAAAAAGTGGGGAATTAAAACAAAAAAAAAAAACAGTAAGTAACTTACCTGTGATTTATTTTCCACAGCCTCCATTTGATGGAGAAGATGAAGATGAACTTTTCCAGTCCATAATGGAGCATAATGTTTCCTATCCAAAATCACTGTCCAAAGAAGCTGTCTCCATCTGCAAGGGGGTGAGAGAGCTGCTTCTTTGTCATTAAGTTCCTTTTTGGCAATCCTTGTGAATAACTAAATTTGTCTAGCTTTGATATGACACTGTAGCATTTTCAAGTGCACCTTCTGTCAGGCAGCCCTAAGCTATATTGTCATGAAGTGCTCATAGCTTGGTGTCACTGGTAAGTATTCAGCTCTTCCTGCTGGGCCCGCTTGTTTTATGGTAAGAACAAATGTCAAAATCAGCAGCTGCCAAGTCCAAAGCTGAATTTATAAACAGGATGATGGTGTGAAACATCTCCACCCACTTTGCCCCAACCCTCAGCAGCACAGCCCAAATTTTCCAGGGCGAGGAGACTTCTCAGCTTGGCTGGATACTAGATACTCCAGTGAGTCCTCAGCCCGGTATGTGTAATGAGAGCAGCAGAGCAGAAGAGTTAATAAGAATCATTTGTTAATGTGGGTAAGGACAAGCTGATGTGGAAATCTTTAGTGTAAATGTAAGGAAGCTGTGGGGAAATCCTGACCCCGTGGTAACCTATGTGCTTAAAATTTATCTCACATTCCAATTTTTTGTATTTATTTATTTATTAGGAAAAGAACAGATTTTACTTCAGGGGATTAGATAGGAAAAAAAATAATTCATTTGACTTTCCTTTGACTCTGTGTGATCCCCTAAAGTCCTGTCAGTGTGCAGCCTTTCCAAACTGCCGTCTGCAAAGCGTTATTTGATGTTTTACACTGATAAAATATCACTGCACTTAGTGTTAGTTTATTTGGTATTTACTTTCTGCCTTTCCTTTGCAACCATTTATGAAGTATTGTACATGAGCTAGATATTAATCCCTTAAGGAAAAATCATCAAGGATAAGAAAAGCTGTTTAGAACAAGAAGATACAAGGAAAGACCACTTTAACATTGGAGCCCATCCCAGTGTAGGCATGCTGGCCAAGACAAACTGAACATGATATATTTTTTTATGTATGTAGTACATGCAGATTGGTGCCTTGTTGTGAAAATGATACATTCAAAGAGCACAGTTTGAACTTGGTCTAATTTCCCTGGTTTCAGCTCTCCCACTCGCTGCTGTTCTGCCATGTGTTTATGCAAAGGGAGGTCAGAAAGCTGGAACTGCATTGCACCACAAGGCTGAAGGGCGAGTCTCTGATACTAACGTGTTCATCATCTGTATTAAACTAACCAGTTAATCCCAAATTTCAGTGAGAATTACACCTAGGCTAAGAAGCCAATATGAGAAAGCTTCTGAACCTTGTAGTCAGCAGTAGCTCAGCAATCCCAGGACTGTTCACCATTGGGCAAGATGAATGTGCCTGCTGTGCTCCTGAAATGGGATTGTCTGCTTCACATCTATTCCACTGCTACAGAGCTCGTTGGGTTTGGTAAATGCAGAAACATCAGAAAAAAATTGAAACTACTAGAATCATTATTCATGTTTTCTTATATCACCTACTGTTAAAGCAAGGGGTTTAGAAGAGCTAACAGAAATGGGGAAGCTGCTGTTCAGCTTGGCACGAGGTGTGATCCCCAGCCCAGTGCACAGCCCCACTTCCCAAAGGCTGCTTAGAGTCACTTTTATTTTAGGTTCAGAATTGGAACCTGATCAACTCAACAGTTGCAGGGAAACTAAAGCGGTACAGCTCAGATTTTAAGAAGGTGTGATGAGCTATCACTCCTAGCAGTATATTAATCATATATAATTTGTAAAAGAGCTTTACAGGGTCCCCATGATACTAGAAGTGGAAGGCTGCATTGATCAGTTCATAATCTACATATCAGTTCAAAAGATTTTGAGGAGCTTGTTAATTAGGGAGCATCTTACTGTTTCTAAGTGTGCAATACTGGTGGGTTTCAGTTTTTTTCCCCTGCAAGTCTGCTTAATCTGTGCAACTGGATATAATATTGACCACAATGTCATTAAGGATGCAAGAGAGGAAACAGATTAGGTATTGTCAGCTGGATGCCAAGAAATTGTAGATTCTGTAATGAGATGTCTTGAACAAGCCCAGAAAAATGAAATGGAGGGGGGAGGGAGATGTTGTACTTTGTACAGCTTTACTGTATTGGAATTTATTAAGTTTAATTGGTTGTTGAGGTAGGACAGAAGCTGTTCTGGAGATTTATAAGACTGAACTGAAAGACCAAAGGCAAATTTCAGGAGTTGTGAACTAATAGGTTGGCAGGTTGCCCCGGGCACCTCCTGCCCACCCACACCTCCAGCAGCAGCCTCTGCCAAAGGGGAAAAGGTTCTCAAGTGCAAGCCTTAACTTTGCTGCTGGCATGCTGTCACCAGTAATCAAACAAGAAAACTCATCTTCAAAACATAAATTTTAGCTTTTCAAAACGATTTTATAAGCAACCTGCATCTTTAGAAGTGGAGCAAGAGCATCACAATCCAGGGAAAATGTGTCTCACTTTCATTCCAAAGTTAAATTGGATCATTTGATGTTTTTTTTTTCCTAATAGCTAATGACTAAACACCCTGCAAAACGCCTTGGCTGTGGCCTTGAAGGTGAAAGGGACATCAGGGAACATGCTTTCTTCAGGAGAATTGACTGGGAAAAACTGGAGAACAGAGAGATTCAGCCACCTTTCAAACCTAAAGTGGTGAGTGAGATGCCAAGTACTTCCCTCGCTAAATGTGTCTGCACTCATGCTTTTCCAGGGGGTGAGATTAATGCTGGCTTGGTGGTGCTGAGAATCTGGGACACTTCTAAAATAAGGCAATTTGCTTATGGCAGACCAGTCTGTAAATCTGCTAATGTTTTGGCACCCTGTAGCATAACCCAGTGTACTTTGTTCCTTGCAAAAAAAAAGTCTCCCGGGGGTTTGAGTCTTGACTTTGACATCATGCACTGCAGGAGAAGTTGAAAACAGGGAAAATTGGCATATTCATACCAGCCACCTGAGATATGCAATAAATGCAGTTCCTGACTGTCTCCTCTGAACAGCATCTAAAGGCAGTGATTAAAGGTATCTGATTTTTGGGGTGAATTTCCTCCACAGTGGGCTACACAGCACAGGGGGTTGTATTCCCCCTCCTTGAGTGACTGAACCCACATCTGCCAAGTCTGTGAGAATAATCCCTGATTTATTTTTAATGCTTATTACTGGTTTACACATATGCACCTATAGCAATGCTTTGGAAATCCAGACAAGATGCCCTTACCATAAGAACTGTTTGCATAATAAAATTTGAGGAGCTGCATTTGTTGATACAGAATTTCTTTCAGCATGTGTGGTGCTTTATTGACAGGCAAAGAATATTGCACACAAGAAGACAAGCTTTCAGGAACAGCTGTAAATGGTCATGTCCTAACACGGACTCTTTAGCACATCTCTTGTTTTTATTGAGATGAGTAGCTGGCTGTAGCACGGCAGGTACAGGATCTCTGGCCTGTGTACTGATTTATTTACCAATATAGACCTATTGGTCTGTGCACTGATTTATTTAGCAGTACAGACCATTGGGGTATCACAAACTAATGAACAGAGGGAGCCCACTACCTGAATATATTCCCCTCTTTTTCCATACAATTGTCTTTTTCACATCACTAGGAGGAGAGTTGTGTGCTGAGAAGAGTATTTTGTGATTTCATACACACCCTTTTCATATGGGGTGGGTTTTGCACTCAGCAAAGGGTGGAAATAAGGAAAGAACGTGTGGTGCTGCCAACCCTGCCCAGCCCGTCCCCAGAGCTGTCTGCCCAAAGGGGAGCTGCAGCTCTTTAAGTCATATTTCATAGAAGATTTTCTTTGCATGCTTCCTGAGTCAAATCTAAAGCTGATTGAAAAGCAAATCTACCTTCATATCTGTAAGTTTTATTAGCTGAAGAAGAGAGTGCTTAGGGTCTTTTTGAAGGTAAAACTAACACTAAAGTGTTAGTGAAGGTACTAAAAGCTTGAAGTGTAATCTGGTTCCATCATAGGACATTTTGTGGCAGATCCTGGCTCCTGTTTAGAGCAGCTGTTCCCTATCTCCATGGTTCTCATGACCTCTTTTGTTTATACAAGCAGCTATTAAAATACAACAAGGTGTATTCACATGGAACCTAACTTTCCCAGATGACAAGAATTTAAAATCCAAGTCAGATATTTATATACCCTATGCATAACGTGTTTATTGTGATTCTATTTATACTGACTGCTTATTGTGATTCTATTTATACTGATTCTAGAAAGCAAAAAACCCACGACCCTTCATCTGTTTGAAGCTATGGATGTATTTATAGGCTTTTTTGGGGGTGGTTTTTTTTACAGAAAACCTTTGTAGGTGCAACTTCTCTAGGAAGTGCACTGCTACAGGAACAATCCTGGTTCTGCATACAAGCATGGTTCTCATTTGAACATGGAGCTGCAGGTTTTGGGTCAGCAGTTGATCAGTTCAGATAAGGTGTTGCCTTCCAGATTGATATTCCACAGGCTAGATGGATTATTTGGCAGGAAAGACATTGTGCTCATATTTGTAAGTGTAGGAGTTCTAGGAGTCCTGTATTTTCAGTTCTGCTCATAAGAGTAGTGCTACTTTTTAATGTGAAACAAAGATGTAATTGAAGATGCAAATTTCTTGATTAATTATATTTGCACCCAAAAATTACTCAGATTTCATGAGCTGTGCCTCTACTAGTACAAGCAATAGTGAGAGACCTAACAGAGACAAGGAGTTTGGTTTCAATGTACAGCTTGTTCGTATACATCCCACTTGCTGAAAAAAGGAGGAAAACAAAGAGAGAAAAATATGACGGATTTTTTTTTTTCAGCTTTTTTTTCTGTTTTTTCTTGTTTTCTTGCAGTGTGGCAAAGGTGCTGAAAACTTTGATAAGTTCTTTACACGAGGACAGCCGGTGTTGACACCTCCGGATCAGCTGGTCATTGCTAACATAGACCAAACAGATTTTGAAGGGTTCTCTTACGTCAACCCCCAGTTCGTACACCCCCTTTTACAAAATGTAGCATGAAACAGCAGAAGGGGAACAAATCCCACAGTGGGGAACGGGCCTTAACCCTACCATTTTTAGGCTTTTGCCTTGTCGATTCCATTTGGGCCTGGAAATTGTAGGGTTAGAAAGTGTAAGATGAAAGGGCCACTTAGGATTTGGGCTTTGGAACAGCAATGTTGTCTTAACGGGAGGTAAATCAGTGTACGGTGCCCACTTACTCCTGTAGAAGTCACCACTGACTTGTCTAAACTTACCCATTTTTTGGTACGTTATATACTTTTTTAACTTCCCACTGTCCTTTTGCTCCCTTTTTGCACTTTCCTGTGTGAGAAATAATCTAACACGTGGTCTGAAAACAAAAAGAAAGCCAACCTTGACTCTTGAGTCCTTCGGTGGAGATGCTGGGAGGTGGGAGCAGGGGGCCTGGAGGGACCACTCCTCCCCGCTCTGCCCGGTGACTTCGGGGAGCTCAGCAGCACCAGAGACTGGAATGGCAGCAGCACCAGGGAGGAGAGGCATTGCAGAAACATGGTTGGAAGGACTTGTTTCAAAAATATGAGAGAAACGAGTTGGGAGTGGGTGGGAGGTGGGGACAAAATCAAATTAGACCCTGAGGCTTTGTGATCCTGTAAGCAGCACCAAGGTTAAACACTCTTCAGCAGTGGCCAGACCTCTAGGATCTTTGCTAAGTAGCGTGTGATAAACTCAAGGGTGAAATTTTGTCTTTAATAATAATATTAGTAATAATTTTAATAATATTTTTGTGAATTTTAATCTCCATGAGATTATTCTGTGATCCAGGGTGCCGTTGTTTGTTCAGTTAATTTAATTTACACCACTCCTCAAGTTTACTGTTAACTGGTTCTCATATCAATATTTTACTATGAAATTTGTTAACCTGGAATGTCAAACAAAACTGTAACCCCTTAAATCTTATTTACATGTGTTTATTTATAGTCTGCAGCATAGGGCAGTAATCGAAGTAAACATTATGTATACAAAATTAACATAAAATGCAGCCTCAAGTGACTTCCTGATTTCTCCAGAATAACTCATGAAAATCAAGTGAGATTTAGTCTTAAATTAATCCATTTTAATTCAGAAAACTTTGGGCTGTAGAATAATCAAGCCTGAAAGAAGCAGCACCTAAAACCTGTTTTATTGATAGAAAGGAATTTAATACATTTTACATATGCTTCATGCAATGAATTTTGCATGTGTAGTAATAACTCTTAATAATAAGGGTTAATAATAAGCAGAACTATATTATTGACGTAATCATATCAAGCATAAAGAGTATTATAAAAATTTTATAAAACAAATTGTGCTTTATTTGTGGAGTTCTTGTTCTGAATGACATCGTTTAGATTTAGCTAAATGTTTATTGATCTTGTTTTAGTTTTTACTTTAGGTTTTGGATATTGTTAACAGCTTAGGGTATAATCTTTTTTTTTAAAAAAAAGGTAGATCTACTTTTAAACAATAATTGCTACCTGCAGGTTTTATACGAGGTTCAATTAGGCTTTCATTTCATGTCTGCTTATGACTTTACAGAGAAGGAAGTAGAGTTTATTTGCAATGATGAACACTGTCATTAATGCAATCTTCTCCTCTCCTATCACTTAGAGAAAAAGAATTGGTATTTCCTCTTACAACTTTCCAGAAGATATTAAGTCAAATATCAGTAAATATTTTTGTGCATATTTTGATTTTGTAACAGCATGTAAAACAGTAGTCTGTGCATTTTCTTTTTTTTTCCCTTCTGCCTTGTTACTGTTCTCAGCCATAGGCACTTTTTGTCTGTCAGATGTGCATGAGGATGCCAGAAGCATGATGTCTCTGTTGCTGCATGCAGACTGATTACAATTTTTCCAGCATGTAAACATATTCAAAAAAAAGTAAGATATTTGCCATAAAGGACTTAAATTTATACTACAATATGTAACTTGGGGGAAGGGAGGGGGGGGGATCTACTTTCTAGTCACCTTTTATGACAATAAAACATGGAACCTGTGCCAAAGATTCTGTTAGGAAGACCCAATCCTGCAAATTGGTAGCCAAGTAGATGGGTTTGACTTACAGGGCTGACCCATGGGGGGCTGGGACAGTTTTTTGAGTGAAACATGGTTAGATGCAAACAACTGTCAAGCTTCTGCACCTGGGTGCCCCCAGAAGCCATATTTTTGGTGCTTAGCACACACGACTGCAGCACTCCAGAGGTTTGACTTTTGCCCTGTTGTGGTCCTTTTGCAGCCCCAGCTCCAAGCGAGGAGCATCTCCCCAGGTAAGAGTGAGCAGGATTTAGTGAGTGAACAGGACAATTCTGAGTATGGCAAAACACACCACTAACGAGGGGTGCTGGCCAACTAGCAAGAGCTCAGATTGTGGCCTAAATAAACAGAACTCCCAATTTTTAAAACAGTTTAGGAGTATCATTTTTAAACCATTCTGTGTCAAATAGGTTGTCAGCCAAGTCTGGGAGTTTGTTCTCTTCTTTGTATATTATATACTTTCAAAATTATGGTATTCACCATAAAACATGTGGACTGGTGCAGCGTTCATGACTATTTATGTTTGCCTGAATATTATTAGCCTGACATAGTTTAGGGAAATCTGAGTATCATGCTGTAGAAGATAATAGATTCAACAGATTCCTGAGGCTCAGATTTTTAATAATTAGGGGGCTCTCAAGTAAATCTGTGTTTTTAAGAACATGATGTGAAAAAGAGTCTTTTGAGAAAGGAAAATACTGGGAGAAGAACCAGCACACAGGGTTTGGGAGTAAGAAAAGCAGCACAGGGGCAGAACTGAACTGAGCCAGAAACAGGCAGGAGATCCTGTGGGCAGACGTTCCCAAACCATTCTGATGTTCCTGATGAAATATCAATTGCACAGGGAAGTTCCACTGCAGGCAGGTGTTGCTGGCACAGGGTGGTGGTTGGTGCTGTTCACACCAGAACATGGCATTAAGAGCTGGTCCAACATTTGGACAGAGCTGCTCATTTTTTGGCTATTCTCATAAACAGTTTCTTAGGCACTTGCATTTGCTCCCCAGTTTTTCTGATGTAGAAGCAGAAATTCCTCTTTAACGTTGTTACCTCAAGTCCCTGGGCTTGCCACGTGTCGTGTCATGTTCTGCAGGTGTCTGTAACGCTTGCAAAAAGGTACTGTGAACTCCTGCAGGATGCAGGAGCAAGGCAGGGCTGTCTAAGCAAGGACTGACGACTTGTGTTACTCCTCACTGCTCTGCCTGATGCACTCGCACGGGAACACTCCCCCTTGGCCCAGCCCTTTAGTGAGAGCTGCAGGTGCTCTGCTGATCATCCTGGCCTTTCTAAGGGCAAGTAAAACCTTATCTAGCAAGCATTTTCATGCCTTTTTAAATACAGATGTTATTTATGTCATATTTTTCACAAGATCTGGTTTTCTGTAGAACATGGATCAACAGAGGGAGAAGCATTAGAGCTGCTTTTCTTTCACTGCTGTTCAGTAGCAACCACAATCCAAACTCCCATGTTATTACAAAGATTTCTAGAAGTCAATCTGAAAATGATGATGCACTGGAGCTGAGGTGGAAGTTTTGGGAGCTGTGTTTCCATCCTACGTGCACTCAAGACCTTTGGGGATCTGGAGAAGGGTTCCTGCCAAGGGAGGCACAGCTCTGCCATGTAAAACTTCTAAGCAGTTTTCAGGGACTAAATGGGTCTTAACGGGCTCCTAGGCAAATTTCTTCATTATTCTGTCATCTGGGTGTTTTTATCCACCTTTGAGTCACTTCAGGAGGGTGGTGGGTTTCCAGGACAGCCAATTCACCCACTGGGCAGTCTCAGTGCTCTTAGCAAGGACTGCACCTATATGAGAAGGAGAGAGCACATTCCCATAATAAAATACTTCCCCTTAATCCAATTTAGAGGAGAAATGCAATTTAGCTTTCTGATCCTTCATTCTTTCCAGAAACACAATTGAATTTCCTTTTACAAACTGAAAAAAAGTTCTTCTGGAAGTCAGCTGTTAGTTTGAAAGAAACTCATCATGTCTAAATGCTGTTGACCTTTGAAATCCATCCTGTCTTTTGGGGTGAATTCAATTGAATAATGCTGGGCTGCTGTGAAATTAATAAGGTCAAGTGTGAGAGGAACTTGTCTTGTAGCTGGAAAGATGACGTGTCCAAGGGCCACACTGGGTGGTACCACTTGAAAAGTCTGTTTTCTTAGTCAGTGCATCCTGCTGCAATCCTGGTTAAATGCCACAGGAGCCACGTGCTGTTAGCAGGGAGTGAAGATCCTTCTTATTAAGCCAAACAAATTATTGGAAGTAATAAGAATCCAAGAATAAAGCTTTGATATGAATAGAAAGTATATTTACAGGATCGAGTTTACAGTGGGCTTTCAGACCTGCCATGCAAGTTCTGGAAATACTGAATGTGAATTTCAGTTCTTTTAATCATTAGCATAAATTATTGTACATTTGTTTAGTCTCTTTGGAAACAGGAGTGTCTGCTGCAGACGACCTGTTCCCTGAGTGCTGTTCCATAGGTAGGCACCGAGCTGCCAGGCAGATGAAAAGTAGACAAGCTAAAGCACTTTTTTCCTTGGCCCCTCACTCTTAGGTGGGATCTGAAATAGTGCAGTTGAAGAATTACAGAAGAATTGACTCCATAAACATGGATGATTTCCCACCAACCAGTAACTGTGCCAGTATTGGTAATTAAATAGCCTTATAATGAATAATCATCATGCACTACAGCCCTTCTGTTCCTAGGAAAACCGAGAGAGAGAGAGAGAGGGCAAGTTATTAAACTCTCTGCCTCAGTTACCTCATCTGTAAAATGGGGGTAATAATACTTACTTGCCTCACTGGGAGGTGTGAGGACTTCTTAGGTAGTGTTTCTAATACACTTTTAACCTGAAAAGAGTTGTGTAAGTATTATTATAACTTTTAATATCAAATCAGCGTATTCGACTCGCATGGTATGGCTGGATATACCATGTTATTTCTACTTTTTTATAGAACTTTAA